CTCCAAAAGCTACAACCACAAAGAAAACTATGGAAGCGTCAAGGAAACACCCGGCCACAACCTCACATCGAACATGTTTGAGTTGCCTACAGCGAGAGTTTCCCAGGTCCTTTCTCCACCTCCTGTTTTTCTTTTCCGGCTTCCCGGTTTTTGTTTCCATCCTTGGAAGCAAAAGGAGGTGTGTTCTCCATCCTTCCTCCTTTCTCCCTACCACGCCGCTTGTTACTCCCTGTTCACACCCTCGATCCACGTAAGCCCGAATTTTAGTCCCCTCCTTCCTTCCATCGCGTTCTACCATTGCATTCAGCTGTCAGAGTCGTCAAGCTGAATCCTGTTTTAATCTGCCAAGAGCACTTTTCAGCTGACATTTTTAATAAATACTTTCAGCTTTTAAACACATTTGTGGGAGCTGTTTTACCCCCCCCCCCCCCCCCAGTCCCTTTCCCTCCCCCTTCTTCTTCAGGGGTGTAAAGCTCTGAGCGCCTTAATAGCAAATACATTAGGCTTATCAAAGGCTGTTTTTTCTTTCCCTTGCATCCACAGAAACAGAGGTAGTGTTTTCAATTTTAAAGCTAAATTAACTGTCCAATTGAATTTAGTTGGCATGAGCTGCTTTCCCTGTGACAGGTTTTACTTATGAACCATATTTCACATTAATAGAACTCAACATGAAAACTTACTCTCCCTGGGACACCGGCGTGGCTCGCCACTGAAATGGTAAATTTAATATTTCAGACATGCCTGGTGCCAGCGTTGGATTATTGTTCGTCATTTAAATCTCTCCTAACGGGGAAGGGCCTAATTAGCAAAAAATCATGTTTTAATGAAGGCAAAATGCTAATTGCTAACAGCACACACATACACACAAAAAAAGGCTTCACATAAAATTATCTCAGCACTTTCATTGATTTCTTGGCTATTGAAAGGGATTTTTTTTTAAAAAAAAAAGGGGGTGTAGATGATGGGAGGTGGGTGGGAAAGGACCCATTTGGGTGTTTATACACAAAGCCACAGTCTGGTTTTTGTTTGATCATAACATTTCACTCAAAGGCAGCAATTGGGAACTTCAAAGGGAAGCAATGAACCTCTTTCCATCCTTCAAATCCCAGCCCTTAAGAAGCTCACAGGCAGAGGAATTAAAACTGGTCCATCAATGGAATAGCAACAGAAATAGCCCTTGGACTTATATACCGCTTCACAGTGCTTTGACTGCATGACTGTAACTTTGTTGCTTGTATCCTTACAATTTATATGGACTGTTTCCTAGTGTGATTTGATTGCTTATTGTGCCCTATGATTATCACTAAGTGTTGTACTTTATGATTCTTGATTAATGTATTTTATTTTTTCTTTATGTACACTGAGAGCATGTGCACCAAAGATAAATTCCTTGTGTGTCCAATCACACTTGGCCAATAAAGTATTCTGTTCTGTTCTGTTCTATTCTAATTCTATTCTATTCTTTGCCGCCCTCTCTAAACAATTTACAGAGTCAGCCTCTTGCCCCCCCCCCCACCCAAACAATCTGGGTCTCCTCATTTTACCCTCCTCGGAAGGATGGAAGGATGAGTCAACTTTGAGCCAGTCAGGATTGAATTGCTGGCGGTCAGCAGAGTTAGCCTGCAATACTAACCAACTTAAATTTGTGCTGCTAACTTAGTAACAGTAGTGATTCACTTAACAACTGTGGCAAGGAAGGCCGTAAAATTGGGCAAAACTCACTTCACTAATGCCTCACTTAACAACAGAAATGTGGAGCTCAATTGCAGTCGTAAGTCAAGGACTACCTGTCTGCCCAGACTGATTGCCTTCCCCTGGAAACAACCAAATAAGGCTTCATGGACCTTAGGAGATGGGTTAGGATTATGCCTCTTTTGCAGCTGTGTAAGGACTCGAGGCTAGTTCCCTGCTTGACCCTTCCTTCCAGCCCGGCTGGCAGTTCCCCAACATAGGAACCGCTGTCCCATTCTGTGGTTTTCCCCCTTTCTGATCTTTCCTTTATCATCTTATTTGCAGGGGTGGATTAGAGCATTTGCAAGAGAGCTCAGCCACTTTGCCTTAAACACTCCACTACAACAGAAGGGATGGGGAGAGAAAATTATAATACATGTTGACCTCAGGACGCCAACTTTTGTTCGCACAAGGTTGGCGACACGGCAGCCCTGGAGCTTCTCGTAAGGTACTTGGTCAGGTTCCGAGTAATCCCAAATAGATTGTGGATTGGGGTCTATCCAGGAGTGGGCTTCAAAAATTTTAGCATGGGGTTCTCTGCCCAGTTGCTGGATGGGCGTGGCCATGGTGGGCATGGCTTAGTCGGCCTCCTGCACCACGGGAGGAAGAGGGGGTGTTTTCGCCTTCCCCGGGCTCCGGAGGCTTTGCTCGAGCCTCCAGGGGGGCAAAAATGGCCTCCTCCGCACTCCGGAGGCTCTCTGGAAGCTGGAAACGGGCTCATTTCCGGCCTTCCTGAACTTCCGGTGTGCACCCTGCACTTACCTATATCCAAAACGGGCCACGTGGGGACTCCTGGGAGGGGAGGGGCAAGGTGGGCGGGGCCAGCCAGGAGTGGGATTTGGGGGTTCTCCAAACTACACAGAATTTTAGCGAGGGAGCTTTCCCGAACCCCTGCGAAACCCCAGAAGCCCAGCCCTGGTTCTACCTGGGTTATTCTTCTGAATTCAGTTTTGACGGTACTCACATCGCTGAGGCAGTCTCTCGAGCTGCTGAGCTGGGAGCTGGTGGCTTCCCGGATGCTGTCATCTTCACTGTTCCTGCCACCCCGTCTTGCTGGGACCTTCATCTGTAAAGGAGCAAAACAAAAAACAAAAAACCACGCCGTCTTTAGTAAAGAGTCCGAAGGAACCATGTTCATTTAGGCCCAAAGGCTCGGGCATCTCTCCGAAAACAGGGTTGAGCTGGAAACGTACTTGGGAAACATCTGAATTTAAACACATGACATTTCATACCCCACGGTGGCAAGATGGCCTCAAGATGCAGACAAACATCTGTTCTTTCATTGCGTATTGATAGCTCCGGCAAGATGTAGCTCTTTGGACTTGCTGTACTTATTCCAAGACAATTTTAGCATCAGGAAGTCAATTTGCCAAGGAGGTTGCAAATTTTTCTAGAACACAGAACAAGCAACCCAAAGCCAAGGTGCTGGGAACAATTTTACGCTTTATTGTCAGCTTTTAAAAGGTAAAAGTTTCCCCCGTCCAGTCCTGTCGGACTCCAGGGTGCATTACTCATCTCTGTCCTTAGCCCAGGGAGCCAGCGTTGCCTGAAGACTATTTCCATGGTCTTGGGGCCAGCATGGCTATACACCAGGGGCTCTTCAAACTTGACAGCTTTAAAACTTGTGGACTTCAACTCCCAGAATTCCTCCTCCAGTCCTGTTAGCTCAGGAATTCTGGGAGTTGAAGTCCACAAGTCTTAAACTTGCCAAGTTGGAAGACCCTTGCTCTACACCAAAGGCACAGAATGCTGCTCCCTTCCCACCAAAATGGTACATATTTATCTACTTGCATTTGGATGCTTTGGAACTGCAGGAGCTAGAGCAAAAAAACAGGAGCTCATCCCGTTGCGCAGAGCTCGGTTCTCAAATCCGGGCGATGAACTCTCCAAGGTGACAAGCTCAGTGTCTTTAACCGCTGAGCCATCCCTTATCAGCCTTTTAATGAAGGTTAAATGGGCATTTTAGCCTGGGATCCGTGCCTTCTGTGGAAGTTTAGGAAACCCTGGATACAATACCATGTTTCACTGACATGTTTAGAAAAAACACGTTCTTGCTTTGAGCCAAAGCTATTTCCTTTGGTATTAAAAAAAAAAAAAAAAAGTATTCTGGCATCTTTAAAGTATTTCCAAAACAACAACTTTATAAGGAACAAGGAACACTGGTTTTCAATTGTTTGAAGTGGCACCTCAATTTATGCTTACCTGACCTGCGAATTTAAAGTTTGATTCCTGCAAAATTCCAACCTGATGCTTCAACTTAACCACACTTATTTAATTTGGGTTTTTTCCCCTCCTCTCTTTGATCAAAGTAGAGTTAATATCAATATGGCCCTATGCAATATATTTGCTTCCTGTGGGTTTGGGAGCTGGGAATGGTCAGCTCTACAGAAAGAACAATAATACGTGGATAAGAATGCCAAATCCAATCTAAACATCTTGTGCTTGTGCGACCAGGCATCATCACAATTGTAAATCTCAATCACTTCATTTGATCACATTATACACAACGGCAATCGTCTTTATTATCTTCCAATTTTTTTCCTTCTCTTCCAAAGTTACACATGACAAAAACTCCACGTTTTCCAACCGAGCCTTCACTATCGCGGCAGGCAGAAATGGAATAAAACAACAAGTCGCACACCGCAACACACACAAAGAGGAATCTGACCGAATCAGAGCTTCAATGGGCAAGCAAATTAAAGGTACCGGCATCGCCATTAACCTCTCCAAGTAAACGTGAATTATGAAACTTCTGTCCCTTGTTTGCTGCTGTGAATTAAGGAGATCATCCACCTTTCTGGCAGATCTTGTCCATTTACACCTGCGGATTGCCAGCGGGAATGTTCACCCCGCCTTCCCTCCCCTGTTGCTAGAACAGTCAGACAACCTGCTTTAATTCTCTGGTAATTACCTTAATGAGACTCACGCAGGTCTGATCTGGGAGAACAACCTGTTTGGGGTTGTTGTTTTTTGCACAATGCAAGCTATTGGTTTCGGTGGGGGGGAGGGGTTCTTTGGCAGGACCAATCTAGAAATGGACTTGCCAAGAGGAATGGAGCTTGAAGCTGCTCCTTGGGCCATTAGCTGATTTTGCCAGTTTTAATTGTGCCAGAAGAGACACAGAAACACAGCCGCCGATATTCTTTTGACCCAGTTCGGTACTTTAATTCTTTCTTTTTTCCCCTCAACCTTTAAAATGCACAAACCTCCTGAAAAACGAGTCAGCGGAGACCAGCGTCTTTTAAACTTGGCGACTTTAAGAAGTGAGGACTTCAACTCCCAGAATTCCCAGCCAATTTGGTTTTTTTTTTTCCCTGCCCAAACTTGGCAACTTTAAAACATATGGACTTCACTTCCCAAAATTCCCCAGCCAGCCTGGAACAGTGTCCATTATTCTTTAAAACAAACTACTCATCCATCTTAAGGTTGATGAATATCTTAAAATTGATGCATATAGACTAAATCACCCACCCACCCACCCCCGGGTCAGTGAGAGTTGCAGAATCATGTCCATTCCTGCTACTTTCTGGATTTTGCATGAAATGATACCAAGGAATGATTTCAGGAGGCGGCAGAGGGCAGAGAACTCATTAGGAAAAATGCATTTTACCAATTCCAGTTACTTCTGGGGGAGCGGGGTCCCAAGAAGTAAGCTAGCTAAGATGTTGAGACATGTGGAAAGAGTGCAGAGAAGAGCAACCAGGTTGATGAGGGGAACAGGAACTGGGCCCGGCTAGTCTAGGGAAGAGAAGGACCAGGGGAGACAGGATAGCAGTCTTCCAATATTTGAGGGGCTGCCACAGAAAGGAAGGGGTGAAGCTATTCTCCAAAGAACCTGAAGGCCAGACAAGGAACAATGGATGGAAAATGATCAAGGAGAGATTCAACCTGGAAATAAGGAGAGATTTTCTGACAGGGAGAACAACCAACCCATGGAACAGAAGTTGCCTTCGGAAGTTGTGGGAGCTTCATCCCTGGAGGCTTTCAAGAAGAGACCGGACTGCCATCCCTCAGAAATGGTGTAGGGTCTCCTGGTTAGACAGGGGTTGGTCTAGATGACCTACATGGTCCCTTCCAACTCTGTTAATCTGTAAGATCTGTAACTCATTCCTTTGGAGGGCATAAACACCTCTATTTTCCGTTCCTAAGCAGCCTGGCTTTTGTCCTGCTCATTATTCATAAACAGGCTTCGATTTCTCCAAAGCTGCCTTCCCTTCGGAGGGGCCGCTGGGACTTTCGGGGCAAAAGGAGACAAATCCTTTCCTTAAGTTGTTCTGAAGGGTGTTGCGCACGCTGACCCTCACCCCCATTAACCCATCAGAGCCGCTTTGCTCCTAAAACGGGAGCTCCAGAGTGCCTGGGAAGGAGCCCCTTTCGGTCTGATCTTTTTGGCTGCAATCCGTGAATTTGTTTGTTCTCTTGCATGCAATTGAAGCCTTTTGCAAAGAATACTTTGTGGGTCAGGATCCAAATGGAATCATCTCCCTTCGTGTTTTGGCCCCCTCTGAAGCCACAGCTGCTCCGACAGGCGGTGGGATTCCCTCTCCCCCCCCTTGACAATTTTTAAAGATCTTTAAAAATAAATAATTAAAATTAAATAAATAAATAAATAAAAGCTCTTTCTTAAGGCGACGGCCATCTGCTCGAGTTTTCTTTCCTTTCAGGGGGTTCTAATTTTAGGCTCCGCGTTGTTTCTGTTAAAGAAACGCTCGCGATGGGAACTCGGAGGAACCTGCTGGGTGTTTTTTTTTTTTGGCAACCAAAACGAAGAGAGGAAGAAGCTCCAGGCGAGTTGGGGAGTGAAAAAGGGGGTGTCGCGGCATCCGGGCAACTTCGATTCTCACACACGCAACTACTCTGCAGCACCCAACCCGAAGAAATAGAAAAGGGGCCCTTTTCACACAGCGTGCTAAATCATCTCGAGGAAGTCCTTGACTTACAGTTACAGTGGAGCCCCAAATTTCCCTGGCTAAGCGACACAGTGGTTCAGTGGGTTTTGCCCCCTATTACACAAAATGTCACAGCACCTGAAGGGCCAAATGAGGAACAACGGATGGAAACTGATCAAGGAGAGATGCAACCTGGAAATAAGGAGGAATTTTCTGGCAGTGAGAGCAACCAACCGATGGAACAGAAGTTGCCTTCAGAAGTTGTGGGAGCTTCATCCCTGGAGGCTTTCAAGAAGAGACTGGACTGCCATCAGTCAGAAATGGTGTAGGATCTCCTGCTTGGGCGGGGGGTTGGACTAGATGACCTACAAGGTCCCTTCCAACTCTGTTAATCTGAATCTATCTAAGATGATCAAAGGCCTGCAGGCTAAAAAGATACAATGAACTATTAGTTGCAGGAACTGGGCCTGGCTAGTCTAGTCAAGAGAAGGACCAGGGGAGACAGGAGAGCAGTCTTCCAATATTTGTGGGGCTACCACAGAGAGGAGGAGGGACCAAGCTATTTTCCAAGGCACCTGAAGGCCAGACAAGAAATAATGGATGGAAGCTGATCAAGGAGAGATTCAACCTGGAAATAAGGAGAAACTTTCTGACAGTGAGAATAATCAACCCATGGAACAGAAGTTGCCTTTGGAAATTGTGGGAGCTTCATCATTGGAGGCTTTCAAGAAGAAGAGACTGGACTGCCATCTGTCAGAAATGATGTAGGGTCTTCCGCTTGGGTTTGATTAGATGACCAACAAGGTCCCTTCCAACTCTGTTAATCTGTTAAATCTGGTTAAATGAATCACTGCAGTTCTTAGTCACACGGTTGTTAAGTGACTCTGGCTTCTCCGTTGACGTTGCTTGTCGGAAGGTTGCAAAAGGGGGAATGTGTGAACACGGGACACTGCAACCAAATATGAGTTGGTTGCCAGGTCACTGAAGCACGTGACCAAGGGGGGGGGATGCTGCAAAGGTTATAAGTGTGAAAAACGGTCATAAATCTCGGACTACCTGTAGTAGACGCAATTGTGGTCTAGCATACTGAGCCTTGCCACTGTGGTTTGAGAAGTGGGGTTTACGGCGGAGCATTTTGTGGAAATGCAACTGTGCTTCGCTCAACAAAGTGTGATCA